GAGAGAGAGAGAGAGAGGGAGAAATGATGGTGTAAAAAAAGGTTGAGGGAAATTTGAGAATTCCCAAGCCCATAAAATGAGTAAGTGGGCATTTTGTCATTTTGGGAAAACATATTTGTATACAAATTAGATCAAACTCCCTATGGTTTAACAATGTTATGTAAGCTTTTTGTTATTTCCCATTTACAATAAATACTAATTTATGCTTTTTGAAAATTCAAATTCATTCAAAAAGGATACTTCAAATTAGTTTCCCAAATTATTTCATTGATTACTTTCTTCCCCGAAATATTTCCCCCCCGAATTACTGGTTGTTTTCGCTCTAAAATAATTCCTCGAAATTATCAGTTTTACTTTTTATCTCAAAAAAATTTTCTCGAATTTACTGGTTGCTTTTTTGAAATGTTTTTTTTTCTTTTTTGAAACGATTGATCATTTTCTGCTCCAAATATTTCTCCCAATTATCAGTTATTTCTTTCCCAAATAAAAAACCCCGGTATTTTTCTATCTCAAATATTTTTTCAAATCATTTTGGCTACTTTTTGTCTAAAATATTTTTCCGAAATACCAGTTTGCTTTCGGCATTTTTGCATTTACAAATGTCTGTGATGTTTTAGGATTAAAAAGAAAAGTGGGCGAAAAAAAAAAAACCACAAAACTGTTTTTCAAAATCGATTACTCATTTTCAATAAATGGAACTAAAAAAGGAAAAAAATAATAAATAAGAGAGAGAGAGAGAAAGAGAAAGAGAGAAGAGAACAACTAACTATAGTTATATTCATAATTGAAAAGTTCTTTTTAGAAGAGAAAAGGAAAAGAGATTATTGGAAATTCATCAAACGGAAGGAAACAATTATATTTTGGAAAGGTCAATGGTACCAAAGTAACACATCGATTTACATTTTCCACACATAACTGAGAAGAGTATGTTAAAGAAAAAAGCAATAAGATTTAGTTTGGGATGAGAAAAAAAAGGATTGAAAATACCTGTGGTATCATAATGTGCACACCTGCTATTTACTAATTGCACCTATTAATTACCTTTACCTTACTAAAGGTGAAAGAAGGAAATGAAGGATGAAAGAACGAATAGTTAATTGCTAAGAACTGAAATTAAAGTGCTACTTAAAATAATTCTCTATGGTCAGTCATATCATTTATTTTCCTCGACATAAATTAATCCTTTAGATAAGTGACCTTGAAAAGGTTAACTTTGACAAAAAGTGATATTGAAAGTTACGTGAAAAAAAAAGAAAAAGATTGACCGCACGTTTCTAAAATGTATTGCTAAAATGAAATTTTTCTATAAAAATAGTTAATGAATAATAAGAAAATACACTGTGAATTTTAATGCTATCATCAACTGGTTGTAATCATAAGTATGGAAATTGGTCATCATTCCCCCATGTCATCACGTTCCGTAATGGTTGATGAGCAAATGACAATACCGATGACAGGAGGAAATGTTACAGAAGCAGCATTCTTTAATCGGATATTTCCAAGTAGTACCGGAATGCGTTTTAATTTTGATGATATCCGAGAATTTCTTCATGATCCACTTATTGCACTTATTGCAACAGATTTAACGGTTTCTTAAATAATTTTTATATCGTTGAATTTTATTTTTTTTTAAAAAAAAACTTTATTTTAATTATTATAATTATTTCATCCTTTATGCAAATTTTCCTATTCATATCACTTAACGCCAATCATTTATCACTAAGGTTTGTTATCAGAGCACTTAAAGATGTGCGATATTCATAAAATTGTTGCATTTAATTTTTTACTTTTTTACTTAATTCAATTTAACGAATAATGATTTATCCTTTGGTATAATTTTTATTTAAGGCTGATGAAAATTTGGATAATATTGAAACGGTTTTAAAACGAATACGTCATGGAAAACAGTAAAAATTTCACAAATAATTATTTCAACAATATTTTAAGAAAAATAAAATTTTCATCTATTGCTTATTTAATTAATTCCATAATTTAACTTCTATAATTAGCCAAATTAATCGTTTCAAATAATACGTCGAAATAAATATTACACTTTTTTTTTCTATTTAAAGTTAAATAACATGATTAAATTTATGATTAGCAATTTCATTAGATTTGTTACTTAATAAAGATTAAATTTTAGCGAAATGTCATCATCCACCGTACAGGAAACTACGTCAGGTGTGCAAAGGGTAGTATTTACAAAAGAATCCATTGAAAAAGATGAACGACATAAAACTTTTTCAGGTATATAATGAAAACTTCAACTTTTCAGGCATTAAAAAATTGGAAAATTTAACCAATCATCGTATTCTTAAATTTTTAAATTACAATTAAGCACCAAAAAGTCATTAAGTACCAAACAATGCTATCTATAAAAATAATAATTGTTAGTTTTAAGTGCAAAAAATATATTTTAATTTTTGTTTTTCTTTTTCCCCGGATGAAAACAATAAAGGTTTAATATATTACAGTAGGTACCACAGGTAGCAATGCTACTTTAAATTACTAAAATGGTACCAAATTAAATATGTTTTTTTTTTTCATAATTGTATAAAATTATAGGAAAAATTTCATCAAAACATTTAACAATCGTTCATTCAATACCAAATTTATGCCGTGAGGTACTTTGGAGAGAACCACAAAAACCTGAACCATTTCTACCTGATTTACAACATGGGAAACAATTAGTATGGAGAATGTTACTGGAATGTTTTTGCACCGAACTTCTATTTTATACCATTCTTTGAATATTAAACGTTTCATTTCATCATTCATATAACTAATATTACAGGAATTAAACAATAAAATAAAAAAAAAAAAGTTTCAATAATTTTTCTAACTGTAATTACCTTAAAATTTATTTCCTTTTGTGATTTAATATTAGCTAAACAATCTTTTTATTTAAAAAAAAATAAAAATAAAAAGTAAAATGAATGGGAAAAAAAAAGAAAGAAAGAAAGAAAGGAAGAATATTGTTTGTCATAATAGTTTGAGAGAAATAAATAATTTTTTTTTTCACATACAAATAACGAAATG